TGCTCTTCAGCCTCAGAAGCCACCTCTCTTTTCTCTGAGTGCTGCCCYGTCTTGCCTTGACACTGAAGTTCCTTGTGGGCAGACAGTGTTTGTCATTTTACCCTTCTACCCCTCATGGACGCCAGTCCATGGTGTTTGCACAGAGGATCCTTGTGGGAGGAAGGGAGGTGTCTTTGGATCCCTTTCAGGCACCATTCCTCCTGATGGCCTATTTCCCAGTTGAGGGTTTCCCCCTGGGAAGTGTAGGTCTTGTCTCATGGGAAAAACATGGAATTTAAGTYCAGAAGACTTGTGTTCAAGTTTGCTGCAGGAGTGACCTTGGGCTAACCTGACAACGGACTTGCTCTGAGTCTAATTAACTACGGACCTGAAAGAGCTAGATGTACCTAATATTCCATTCTCATGTTGGGTTTTATATCCTTTGTACTGGGTCAGCAGAATCTGAGTTGGCCACTAGAGGGCAATCTTAGCTGGCCTTCCAGCTGGGTTTCCCTGAGTACTTTCTTGCCTGAAAGGAGGGCCTGAGGTGTGATCCCAAGATGCAATGAGCCATCCCAGAAACCTGGAAGGAGATGAGCCCACAGCACCTGGATCCATCCAGTCTTCTGTTTTCTTGGGGCCTGTTAGACAGGGTTTAGTCTTACAGCCCCCRAACTCCATGGCATGAATGGGGCACTTGATGTCCTGGGCAGATGGGAAGCCAATCTTTTCCTTAGAAACCACCGGTGAATGTTTGGATCACTACAGCTCTTCCCTTCTGCAATACCCTCTCTCCCCATTTAAATTTTTATTGAGGTAAAATTCACATAGCATAAAATTCACTATTTCCAAGTATCCATTTAAAATGTGATCTTTAGCTGTGCAACCACCACCACTAGCTAAATCCATAATATTTCCCTCACTCCCCAAAGGAAACTTTTAGCTATTTTCAGTTAATCCCGATTCCTCTTTTTGCCTAATCCCTAGAAAGTAATTTACTTTCTGTCTGTAGGTGTTTGCCAATTCTGGGTATTTCATAACTTTTCATTTGACCWTATAATATGTGTCCTTTCGTGACTAGCTTCAACTTAACTTTGCATAAGGTTTGCAAAGTTCATCTATGCTGTAATGTGGAAGAGTATTTCCCTCCTTTTTATGACAGAATATTATTCTATTGCATACGCCTATTACATTTTGTGTATCCACTAATYCATCGATGGGCATTTGGGTTATCTCCACTTTTTGATTTCTGTGAATAATGCTACTATGTGTATTTGTGTACAAGTTTTTGTGTGGCTATATATTTTCAATTCTCTTTCAATTCCTTGTAACACGGGAATGTTGCTGGGAGTTACCATACAACTCATGGCATTCTGATGAAATTCCTGATTGCTTTCCAAAACAGCCACACCACTTTATGTTCTATCAGCAAGGATTGAGACTCTGTAATACCCATGACACTGAATTTAACCCTTGTTTGCCTTAGCATTCTGAACTTGGGAGTCTCAAGAGGCAGAAACATGCTGCTGGTGGTCACCTCTCCCTTTTCTAAAGTTGTAGTTATGCAAGAAAACAAGCTTTGCAAACTTTAATTATCTGAAGAACACACTTGAGTTCTTGGGTGCAACCAGGGTCATTTATCTTTTTTGCTGCTGAGGAGATSCTACTGCCTGGGTCCTTCCTGTGGTTAAAACTCAGTGTTCTGGCTCACCTGAGATGCACCAAGAAGGAAGCGACATTTACCTGGGCTCTTTGCCAGGAGGTGTTCTTATTAGGTAGGTGCTGCCAGGCGTGTGTCTGCACAGCCTCATCACCTCTGTAATGGATCCTGAGGCTTCCTGGCAGGGAGCTGGCACGGGTTCTTGCAGGTGTCTGAGGCATGAGGGAGGAGATAATATCTGTCCAGGTGGACAGAGACAGTGGGCATGGCTGCCTCCTCCTGGGCTCCCGATGGGATAACAGGTAGACGTTTGCTATCTGCTCACAAGAGGCTGCTGAGCAGAGACCTCCCAACTCCATTTGCTATTCTTTTCGTGACTGAGCAAATGAGGGCTCTATTTGCAGTGGCTCAGACCTGCCTGCCTAGATGAGAAAAGGCTTGTTTGTGTAGCATCTGGATGCAGGAGTGAGGTAATTTAGGCAGGTGGGGTGGGAAGGAGATTGCTAACCCCAAAGGAGTTCTCTGGTGGGGAAAGAAAATTACCAGCTGTGCTTATTCGGCAATTGGATGGAGGAGGACTTGTTCATTTTTGTCAGTCTAAAGGGAATGTTCTGGGGGAGGCATAGTGAAGAAACAGCATGGGAAAGCAATCCCAGGAGATCCTTATTCACCAACTAACAACCCTGCCGGGAGGTGTCATRTCCATTATATTTGGTTTAGACATATCCAGCCAGTGGACATCTTTGATCTCTGGGAGCAGCAAATATTTGCTGAGACCCTCCTTTGTTTCAGGAGCTATTTAGGATCCAGGGATACAATRTTGAGCAAAATTAATGCTGGTAGTTGCCCTTGTGGAGATCAGAGCTGAGCGGGGTGGAGGGGAATCATTCAGTGACTGTAGGGTATTTCAGTTGCTATGAGAGCATATGATAGCCCATAAAAGGAAAAACGACTTGGTGTGGAGTGGGGTCTGGGAAACCTTTCCTGGGCACCTGGCATCTGAAGAATGAGCAGAGGATGGGGGTGAGAGAAGAACATTTCAGATGAAGGGCACAGCAGGTGGAATCCAGATGATCTTCCAGGTTTGGAAAGAAAGCCAGGAGGGGAGAACTGGGAGGGAGGAGAGGCCCAGGAGACAGGAGGAGAGGTGGGCAGGGCCACTCTGATCCTGGACTAACTGGCTGTGCAAAAACTCCCTTGTTCTTYTCCCAAGAGTGGTATGCAGCCACTGGGGAGCTTTCTAGCATGACAGTGACATGGTCAGGTTTGTGTTTGAAATAGCCACTCTGGGTAGAGTGAAACCRCTCATGGACATCCATCCCAGGATTCAAATGATTAGGTGGTGGATTTTTWAAAAAATGAATATTCTTTTTTCCTTTCCCATGCAGTGTTGCTGGATTTCTCCTAGAATCCTTACCTCAGACCTACCAAATAAGAACAAAATCCTTGAGGGGGATTTTTGTCTGGATTGGATGGAGTTGTGGTTCTGGTTTTAGGGAAGGCTAGGTCCATCATATAAGATGATAATCAACTTTGTGGGCTGTGAAAATATAATAATGAACACCTGATCAGCTGAATAGTGGGGAGATGTCTGATCAAGGTAAAAAGGATGTTAAGGGAATGAAGTGGAACCCCCAAGGGGGCAGGGGCCATACTTAGTCCTTCAGATATTAAYTTGAGCCTCTGAAGGTCATTTTGACCTTGAATTTCTGATGAAACCTGAGATATCACAATTTTTTTCCCCTGCATACCTGGGAAGAAGACCCTGTTTTCTGCCCACTCAGACCCACCCACCTAGTTAAGTGCTGAACATATGGATGRTCACTTGCTTGAAGGTTATTGCTGGAAGCCTTAGGGGTAAGCTGGTCCAGAATTTCTAGAGTGTGGTCCTTGGACCTGGTATTTGCATTGTCTGTGAGGTAATGGTTTAAAAACTGCAGGTTCTGGGTCTTACCTCAGACCTACCAAATCAGAACTCCTTATTTTCCGAATGGGGGCAGTGGTAAGGCCTGCTAGGGAATCACCACTTTAAGCCAGTGCACCACGGGATTCTTATGCATGTTGCATTAGTTTCCTGTGGCTGCTGTAATAAATTAGCACAAATGTGGTGGCTTATAACAACAGGAACATAATCCCTTACTGTTCTGGAGGCTTGAAGTCCTAAATCAGCCTCCTTGGGCTGAAACTAAGGTGTTGGTGGGGCCACATTCCATCCAGTGTCTGGGGGCTGCCAGCATTCCTTGACCTGTGGCAGGATCTCTCCAGCCTCCACCTCCCTGGTCACCTTGACTTGTCTTTTGTCTGTTGTCAGGTCTCCCACTGCCTGCCTTTTATAAGGACATTTGTGCAATTAGGACTGGATAATCTTCTTATCTCAAGATCCTTAATTTAATCATATCTGCAAAAATCCTTTTTTTTTCTGAAAAAGGTAACACTTACAGATTCCAAAGATTAGGACCTGGTCTCTTTGGGCATTCATTATACAGCCTGCCACGTGCACTGAAGTTTGAGAGACATTGATAAGGTGTGCATCCTTAGGGTAGATGRGGTCTAGGAAATTGGAACCCAGAGAGATGTGACTAATCCAAGGACATACAGCCTGTCATTGACTTCTGAGATTAGAACCAAGATTCCTGATTTCTGAGCTTCTCTTTTTGGTCCCCACTCTGAGGAATAATGATATCTGACATTTGCTAAATGCTTTCCACGTAGGATTCTATGTAAATTCCCTGTGCTACTTCATCAACTTTTCCAAACAATCCTATGAGATAGATTTTCTGATTATCTGCCATTTTGCAGCTGAGAAAATTAAGGGGAAAGAGGTTAAATAACTGGCTTGAGGTGATAGCTAATTACTGGTGGAGCCCAGATTAATTACTGGTAGACCAAGGCAGTCAGAGGCCAAACCTTTGTTCATAGGTTGAACCGCCTCCAGTCGGGTTACTCTGAATCAGCTCCATGAATCACCTCGCTGGTATTTTTGCCKTCCTAGAAAATATGAATCCAAGCTTTCCTGGAGAAAAAGGAGATGGCTCTAACCACTTACCCTCCACCTACTCAGAGCCAGGTCTCCAATTCCTTGGWGAATTTTTAACAACCTTCTCATCTCTACAAAGGGTCCACTGTGAGGTGAGCAGGCTTTGCAAAGAAAATTGGTAGAGGCCCTGGTATATTTCTTAGGCTAAGAGCCTGGGATGTGCACTGGAAGGTTCCCTGAYTCCGAATTGTCTGTGAAAGGTAAAGGAGATTGTGAAGCAGACTTGTTCGCACCTTGGGTACATATTTGTTCCTGGCCATGACTCACTTCCCTCTGGAGCAGAGCCCTAGGTGAAATGTTTACCTGCTCCACCTCTCTCTGTGCTGTCTTATAGCTCCCCTCCCAGTGGGGCAGGAGTCTGAGAGTGAGGAGCATCTCTGTCTTCCTGTCCACCCACAGAGCCTATGGTCATGGCGGCCCTGGCAGCAGGAATGTCCAAGCAGCGTGCAGTGGCTGAGKGTCTTGGCTCCAACCAGAACGCTGTGAAATACTTGGGCCAGGACTTTGAGACTCTGAGGCAACAGTGCTTAGAATCAGGAGTCCTATTTAAGGACCCAGAGTTCCCAGCATGTCCATCAGCTTTGGGCTACAAGGATCTTGGACCAGGTTCCCCCCAAACTCGAGGAATCATTTGGAAGCGACCCACGGTAAGGGGTGAGGTTGTAGCGGAGTGTCTTACAGGGCTGAGGGGCCTTGCATCTATCTGGTCAGGAGTTGAAGAATCATGGCTTTGGATTATAAATTTTTGGATTCCATATTTCATTTTTTTTTAAGGCAGTGAGTTATTCCAGAAAGAGGGTGCACAGGCTTTGGAAGTAAACAGGTTAGATTTGAATCCTGACTGTGCAGACCTTGAGCAGATAACTTAGCCTCTCTATGAGTTTCAATTTTCTCATCTGTAAAATGGTCTCCTGGCACTAGTCTTCAGTGTTGATATAAGAACCTAGAGGTAAATCTGAGTATAGTGCCTATCATGTAAGAGGCACAGAATACATGGTAGTAATTATTGCACAGTGGCCCCTGGACCAGTGCCCAAGGGAAATCAATGCTAAATGTAGGAAGCCTGGAGTAAGTGATACAACAGCTTTACTGAAAGGTACAGGTTGCTTAAGGTCATGGATTGCCATTGTTTTATCAGGGCTGACGGGTGGAGAGGACAGGTGGGAGCCATGCCTCTGTGGATGCAGATAGAAGGCTCCCAGCTCCTGGATGCTGCCACTGATAACTGCAGAAACTCAAAGGCAGAGGATGGAGAATTGTCTTCCCAGATTAGGCCCAGAACCCATCACTGTATGACCATTGTCAAGGGGATTTAACCTCAGGGAAAAGAACCCCATCCAAAAAGAATGGCTGTGAGAATTGAAATGCTCTATTTAGTGTCTGGCACCTGATATGGTCTCAGGGCTATTGAATGGATATCCTCAGGAGCCCTTAGCCCAGGGCACCTTTTTTCTTCTAAAACATGATAAGGAGATCAAGTCATGGTTTCTATTCCTGGAAGTGGCTGAAAAAGGAACATAAGAAAAGTTCAAAATTATTCTCATCATTTAATTGATCAAAATTATCATTTAACTCCAGCAATTCCTTCTGTTTTGTACCATAGTCCCCCCGCCCCTCCTGAGAGCGACTCCTGCCCACCACGGCCTCTCTTCCCTTACCTTGCGGACACCTTCAGTTTACCCTGGAATGTTGGGAAAAAATCAAGGCCTGGGATTACACGTTTATACTRTAGTTTCAAGAAGTGATGCTCAGGACAGAATGAAGCATGTACTCAGCAGAGGCACAGAGGATGGACTGTAGAACCTGAGGTGTTACCTCTGAATGATGGAGAGATTTGAGGGAAGAGGAAACTTTCGAGTGGCTTGGGGGAGGGGGTGCTGCGGGAATGGAGAGGGGTCATGAAATACTTCATTTCATGACCAAAGTCAGGTGTCAGTTACCCTTTGCCCAGTTTTTCTCTTTCCTTTGAAAATCTTCTTTTAATTGATTTTATTTTTTTAAATACACGACAGTCGAATGCATTACAATTCTTATTACACATATAGAATACAATTTTTCATATCTATGTATATAAAGTAGGTTGACACCAATTCATATCTTCAGACATGTACTTTGGATAATGATGTCCATCACATTCCACCATCCTTGCTAATCCCCTGCCTCCTCCCTTTCCCTCCCTCCCCTCTTCCCTATTCAGAATTCATTTTTCCTCCCATGTTCCCCCTCCCTACCCCACTATGAGTCCAGCCTCCTTATAGCAGAGAAAACATTCCACACTTGTTTTTTTTGAGATTGGCTAACTTCACTTAGCATTATCTTCTCCAACGCCATCCATTTACCTGCAAATGCCATGATTTTTATTCTTTTATTGCTGAGTAAAATTCCATTGTGTATATATGCCACATTTTTTTTTATCCATTCATCCACTGAAGGGCATCTAGGTTGGCTCCACAGTTTAGCTATTGTGAATTGTGCTGCTATAAACATTGATGTGGCTGTGTCCCTGTAGTATGCTGTTTTTAAGTCCTTTGGGTATAGACCGAGGAGAGG